GTGCATCCCTAGAGATACAGCGGAGTCATACACTGTCCCTGAAAGCTTCCCATTCTCAGCTTGCCTGCAGACGAACCCTGGTGCTACTGGAAGTTCACTGCAATGTAACACTTCTGCTCCAGGCACCCCACCCTGAGTCCTTAGAGCACAAATATGAACATCACGCACCCTTTTCAAGGAGCTCACAGGCTAGTAAAGAGGAGGAGCCCTAAAGCAACGGAAGAGAGGACAGAACTGGATCAGGCTAAGAAGAGAAGGAAGGACAGGGACACAGATATGTCTCTTCCTGACCACTGCCTCTGGGATGGATCGCCTATCCTGATAACGAAGTTCAGAAGTTTGTGGAGGCCTGAAAGAAGGTAAACGAACAAGGCAGATGTGGCCCGTACTGCTCTAATGCATATACCGTAACCCGAGTTACAGCAAGACAGAGTTATCGCAAGGCTGATGACCAATGGGATGACAGCCATATAAGAGCTCCCCCTCCCCCAATGATAATACATCTTAGAAGAGCTTATTGTGTAGTGTCCCTTGTCTTTGAGCATCTTCTCCCACCGCCTCATCCTTTCTCAGCCTCTGTCAAGTCGGCTTTGCCAGCTTCAAAGAATAGTTCTCTATTAGCTGTAACATGTAAGTGTGGATGTATTTGCTCATTCTAATCCAACGGGTCTTTCTAACTCTTTCAGTTTTATCTTAGCATTGTGGCCATGGTTTTCTAACAGGTGGTATGGTCTGCCCCAAACTGGGCTTTGCAGTTATTTGTAATGCTCAACTCTGCAGGACACAAGCTGTTTCAGGAATACACATGTCAGCACATACGTGCTACATGACATATGTACGTTAAAACATGTCAGCACATACGTGCTACATGACATATGTACGTTAAAACATGTCAGCACATACGTGCTACATGACATATGTACGTTAAAACAGAAATGTTCTCAGTTTAGCAGCAGCTTTTCCGTTTGGTATGGTGGCATTCCCATTGAAATTCTCTGCGGTAAGAACAATCACCATCATCATCCTCCAGAGGACGAAACAGGCTTAGAGTTGTTAAACGATTTACCTTATGATGAGAAATCAGGCCTTGAGCCTGTTTTCAACTCCATCTACTCAGTCTTCATTCTACCCTCAGCACTTGGCCAGCAATGGGATGATAAACTATTCTAGAAAAAGTCAACACTATCCCTATCGTCTATTTGGTGATATTCATAAACACTGTCTGAAAAGTAAAGCAAGAAACAAACATCAAAGGAAAGAAGAAAATTAAGTTGCTCTTAAGTTCCCACTACTAGCTAGGAATGCCACTGATTTTGTTTTTTGAACCATAATTTTCTGCCCTACCAACAGAGGATCTCTAACACTGTTACAATAAGAGGCGATGTTCAATCATACATGAACAAATCTACTTAATGATTCTGTATTTTTATTTACACTTGCCTAAAAGTTTGAGCAAACAATCACTTGTTGTCAATGAACTGTAGTTCCCAACACAATCCAATAACAATTGTTGTACCATCTCCCATGAATATCTTTGAGTTTTCAAACAGTAAGACATGTAAAGAGAAGAATTAAATAGATTTTAAATATGTTAGTGGACACATAAAACAGAAAGGCTGATGGGTGAGTGACTGAAATTTGAGAAATCTGATCCTGATAAATGTAATATTGAGTTGGAAGTGTCGCGCCCAGCCTTCCAAGCGCTGCCCACTCCCACAGGGTATTTAGAGTCACACAGAAACAAAGAACACATGGTTTTGGGTTTGGTGTGTGCTCCGTCTTCCCCTCACCATACTCTCCTGGCCACCCAAAAGTGTGCCATCTATTAAACATGGGCACTTAATTTGGTTTAATCTGGTCTGATTGGAGTTCTTTTGTGTCGGTGGAGCGGCTAGTCTTAAGATTTTTCCTAACAATAAATTACTGTCTACGATGTTTATGTGGGAAGCATATGATCGGTTCTCCTAAGCTCTATCAGCCCGTACTTTCCAAACTACTTGGAAGAGACTGGGAATTAGAACATGCCTGATTTCCTGGTCAACATTTTAAGTACATTAATCTCTCTTTTCTCTCCTTCACCCCTTGCCTCAACACCGCCCCTTCCCACCGTCCCAGATTTTGTCTAAATATATGTCTGACCATCACATGCATAGCTGGTCTGTGGAGGCCAGAAGAAAGTGTCAAAACCCCTGGAACTGAAATTACATGCGGACGTGGCTGCGATGTGGGTGCTGAGAAGCAAGCTTGGCTCCTTCGCGTGAGCCGCAGGTGCTCTGACTGCTGTGTCATCTCTCCAGCTCTCTACTGCTCTGGGTCACTGGGTGTGCTGATTCAGGGCTGCACTAGGTTCTGTTGGCCCGAGGAAGCGACAGAAGATGACACTGCAGTTTGTAAGGAACTTCTCAGAACCCTGTGAATATTCCCAACTGACTCAAATATCTGCTGGTTGGGTTACGCAAAGAAACAATCAAAGCCTCCGGGCCCACCCATGATACCTGGCTTCTTCCCATTCCATTTTTGGCCACCAAGTTATTGCGTCACTCAGTTAACTCAGAGCTGGGAATTTCAGTGACAAATCATTTTCTAGAAGTGTAGACAAACCCTGCCCAGAATGGCCATTTTGGCAAAAGCAACTTCTCCGTAAGTTAGGAATACCTGCTTATCATAGGCACCTGAGCCTTCCAACTCTGGAAACTGGGACTTTATTACAAGTGGCAACAATATAAGCAGATGGCATGAAATAGCACCCGGCTATTGTTCTTTATTAGTGCCGCACCAGAAGCTGCACATGCCAAGCTGGTTTAGACTTTTCCCTGCCGTGCCAGGCAATGACTACTCTGGTTGAATGGCCCTATTTGTGCCACTGTGTTCAGTATTTCATGCACTGAGTTTGTATTTTTTTTCCAAAACACGTAGTACAACTTCAGATGATGACAAGTGCAGCCTCCTTGGCATGCACTCTTCCTCTTGCTTTATTGGTTTTTGATCACATCTACTGTAGTAGATTACTATTCAGAAAACGCTGCCTCTTTTCCTTGGACAATCTCCGCGACTTACCAGAGCGAAGCCTGGGCCTTGAAAACCTTGGTGTCTGCCCACTTCCCATGTTCTGGGCCCTGAAACTGTATCCGCCATAGAGGTTGCCTCTCGAACAGAGATCCAGAATGACCACATTAGGAAGCCTGGAGTTTGACCCAAAGCCCCGCTTCTCCAGCTTGCGTATCACGTATGTACGCAACACGACAACAAGGCAGCAATTCCAGGAAAAGCCATCAGGACATAGAAAACCACAGGGGTGGTTAGAAGACAGAGTGGACAGCAGAAAAAACTGAACAGGGCCTGGGGAAGGCTAAGCCACCCTGACTGACTACAGGCCAATGAGCAGAAAATAAAGTGCTCAGGGCTGGCTGAAGCTTAGATTTTTGTGGTGGTTTGTTTCCTGATAATTGCTGGTTAGTTGACCCATTTTCCACAACACGAACGTAAAGCAATCATCTTAGTTTTAAAGAAAAATCCCCTCTCCCATCCAAGTACTAACCAGGCCCTGCCCTGCTTAGCTTCTGAGATCAGACAAGATGGGGCACATTCGGGGTGGTTGCAGAAGCAAACTTTCCTCCCCTCCAATTAAAGTGGCTAATAACCATCTGGTTCAAACCATTTCCTTCTCTTTTCTCTAACTCCAGGATTAAGTGAGCAAATATGTGTTAAAAACAACACAAAACATTTTAATATAATGCTGTCCACCTAAGAAAGGACTCACAAGATATTTTTATTAGTAATCTCATACCAATATGCTCATATACTTGCAGGGTGGTTTGGTTTGGTTTCTGGTTTTTGTTTTTTGTTTTGTTTTGAGACATTTTAAATTCTCTGTGCAGACCAGATAGGACTCAACTTGTAGCAATCCTTCTGTTTCAGCCTCCGAAGTGCTGGAACTACAGACATGTACTACCATGCGAGGCTTATGGTATTTTCAATTTATCCAAAAATAAAACCATGTTTACATGGTCTTATTTATGGCCTTATAGCTTACTTTTCTTATTTAAAACCACCAATGGGCTCCTCCAGGTCAGCTCATATTTTCAAGACAATTCATCTTTCAAAGTGACTACTACATGATATCCCATGGTTTGAATTATAATATTTGAACAAACTGTAAAACGAGCTTGGTTTTACCTATTTTCATTTTCTAGATAGAGAATCTAAGATTTAGACTGCTAAATATCAGCTGCCCCCCCCCTTTCAGAGCCCACATTCTTCTTCTGTGTCGGGCTCATCTTTGTGGCATGCTTTAGCCCACGGAAGATGAACGGCAGTGACCTCTGAGCAGAGTTTTAAGTGTCTCTCAGTGGTATAACGTCTCTCTCTCTTTCGGTACACACTAGCAGCATCTCAGGCAGGGCTCTTCCAGGCTGCGCCTCAAGGGTAAACATTTTGGCCTGGAGGAAGTGGAAATAGGCAAGCACAAAAGACAAACTCGCGTTGTTCTAAAGTCTAGGAGGTTGCTGACCATTGTTCCAGCAAGATAGAAAATGTTGATTCAGCACTTCCAGACTTCCAAGTACTTGGATGTTCACTGGAAACATCATCATGGTTTAGCCATGTGCCAGAATGCTGGAGGAAGATAAGGTTGAAGGACTTACTGGGAACGGCGGCCTTCCCGGCATTTTACAACATTATCAGTTGCTTCCCCTCTAATTGCCAAATCAGTAGGAGTGGACATAACAGTGTCACAGAAAAGGCAAGTCCCTGCAGCCCAGGACACACCATCACTTGTGTAGGAAGGTCCTCAAGCAGGGATAGATCCTCTGTGATTAACAAAACCACCATCATTTTTTTAGAAGCCACAGAGAAGGCAAAGGCACTGGAGAGGTGAAGAGAATGAGAGGGCGTGGCCCTAAATTTAAAGCTACCTTCACTGTGAAAGAGCTCTGGACCCCAGCTCTCTCAGAGGACTTCTTTAAAGACCTTTCATAGGATGGAAGATAGAGTCACAGCCATCATATAAAAATGTTTTTATTTTTAATTGCCAATGTCATACATGTTCACTGTAGAAAACTCAGAAACAAAGAGGGTAGATAATGAAGCAAGTAGGAGCTACACAGATATCACACGTGTCAGCACCTTGGTGGCTACGGCACATCTGCCCCTAGGGACACAGACACTTTACATATGACAACTGGCCACATTACGAAGCCTACCAAGGCATCTCAACATGTGCATAGATGTATCTATCCCAAGTTCCTCCTTCCCATCCCTCTGTTACAGCTCCAAACGTGCCCTGGTCCCTAGTATCGACACCTTCATGGACTTACCTCCTCTTCCTCTTCTCTTTGCTACCTCTCCTTCCCCTGCCTAATTCCACTTACTTTGGAAGATTTTTATTAACCAGTTTCTCCAAAGCACTTTCTTCAACTATCCTGGACAGAAGGCCCCTCCACCCAGGAATCCTGTAGCTCAGAGCATTATCAAGCTGCGCTCATCTTACCTCCCCCTCTTATCCATTTTCCCTGCTGTACCTCAACCAGTGGTCAGGCCCTGACACTGCTGTCTACCAACAATTGCCAGTGGCTAACAGACATCAAACACTCAAAAATATTGAATGTATTAATAAGATATTTAGCACTATGTGATACTGGTATTCTGAAATCCCCCCCCAAAACCTGACATTTCAATACATGCCCACTCAAAGATTAAATACAGAAAAAGATAAAGACATCCTGACATGTCTCGCGCAGCTTATAAACTCAACAGGAACACACCAGTATATAATTGGCACTACCCTCTTTCCTTTCAAGCTGGGACAGCCAGGACAAAGGTGCCAACTTCAACCCAGCGTTTCTTCTTTAGGGTATCCTAAAAGCACCTACTGAAATAAGAAGACATTATCATCGCTACTCCAAAATTCCAGTGAACCATCACAATGAAACTGATTGGTCATCCAAAGTTCAGCAGGAACATCCTTCCACGGGGTTATTCAGAGATCAAGGTTCCTTCTACCCGTGGCTCTGTTCTTCTGTATGTCCTTGAAGTCCCGTACATTCCCAGGAATAACGAGAAGACTTTCTGAAGCAAGCCTGTAGGGGCACACACATCACATCCGACCACTCTGTACTGGTTAAACACCTGTTTGCAAAGGCAACTAGCTGGATAGATGGGTGCGAAAAGGAAAGGGCCCAGGGCACACTAAAAGGTTTTCCTGCGGCAGATGGGCATACCCAGTCCTCTGCAGTGATTCTAAAGACACGGAACTTTGATTTACGGATTTATTTGATTTATGCCTACCAAAAGTAGTTGCTTTGATATAATGTTCATTCAAATGGCTTGTCACATTGGGGGAACCCGAGACCAGAGTGGGAATCATTATGACTGGTCGCCAAATATTACCAGCCCTTTGCTTTCCTGCTTCCCTGAGAGAGCCAGAAGATGAGTTATAGTCAATGAAACTGAGAAGTGATATGTAACATTTTAAAGCAAAGGCATGGAACTGTTCAGACACGAGTCTTCAACTCTCTCTTTGCCTTGATAAGACAGCATTCAGGTTCCTAGAAGTGGGCAGTCCATTAGCTTGTGTCCCACAGGGAGGTGATATTATTCGTGTCTGTCAACCTTAACAGACACAAAGCAAGAATAAGAAATCCACTTTTTGTCACAAGTCACTCCAGTTTAGAAACTCACTCTGAACTCCAGTGTGGCTGGAGAAAAACAGGTGCAGGAGAAGGTATGAGGAGAGGCTGGAGGGAAGTGAGGGTGTAGCAGTGTAGAGAGATAGAGGAACAAAGGAAGAGAGGTGGTTAACTTGACAAAGATGAAGTGGTGCAGGAAGAGAGGACCAGGCTACGCCATCCAGGTAGGAAAATTGCCATGATCAAATATTACAGACTAAGTCCAGGTAATATTTATGCTTCACTATTAAAACACCCATAATTCCACATGCAAAGACAATTTAAAAAAAATCCATCAATAAGCTTTTACCCAGCACCCTTGATCCTTCCATGTGCCAGATACTTACTAAGCACTAGAGATACAAAATAAGAAAGACACCATTTCTGGGTTTTGAGTCAGCGATTAAAGAAGACATTCACGAGTAACAGGGATTCTATCTCCCAGCTACCTACCCACTGTGGTGAGAGTCAAAGAGGATAAAATGATTTGTGTGAGTTTGGAGATTGGTAGCGAAAACTTTCAGAGGCGTGATGATTTGATCTAACTCTTGAAGAATAAATAGCTTATATAAAATTACATTTATTTTAGTGGGGGGGAGTCAGATGATAACTTGGGTTATCCATTCTCTCCTACCCTTGGGTCTCGGTTATTGCATCAAGGTTGTCAGGATTGGTGACAAGCCCGTTTAATCACTGAGCCATGTCATAAGCCAGTGCACATTTTGATAAAGAATAAAAACATATGAAGGAGGTAGATAAAGTGTTTGGTGAAGAGGCTGCGACTCTGAGGTATGGACGGAATGTGGATTGTAGGGTGTGGCGGATGGCATCTCTATTTACAAATACTTGCTTCCCTTCCCTGTGACGTCAGGCCTGACCATGTGAACTGCTCTCAGGAGGAGCTTTAAGATTTGTGTAGTCTTTGCTCTCAGCAATGTTTAGAATGAAGATGCTGTTGGCTGGGGTCCCAGAACCAACATGTGTGTACAAGCACAGACAGAGCTGACTTCTGTAGACACGTAGCATGAGTGGGAAATAACCCTGTGGCTATAATCCGGGAAGGTCTGTGGATGGCTTCCACAGCAGTAATCTCGCCTAGACAGAAGTGGGCACTTCAAACTCCTGGCTTTCAGGCATGCAGTGGGACTGAATGTCCCTGCACCCTTTCAGGCAGTGAGTCATGTGACTCATGTCAGCTTCTAGTCTATGAATTCAATAATATGCATCACACCTGGAAAAAGCTCTTAAAGTCGGCATGGACTCGACCCTTCTTTCCCCACCAAGATGACTGTCATGATTCCAGAAGCACGATTCAAGACGAAAACTTCTAAAGATGAGGGAAACACATTAAGCACAGCCCTTCCGAACCCGAGCATATACAATGAGCAAGAAGTAAATTTCTCTATAAGCTACTGAGATTTTTTTAGGGCTCTGTGTTATAGCAGTGTAACTGCACTTGACCTGACTCATTTAAAACATGGCATGGGGTAACACAATAAAACCAAGATACACAAAAGCCAACCATTCATCTTGACTGGCCAACAGCTAAGGACACAGGCGGAAAGGGTAGTGATCTTTTTGGCAAACCTCACCCGTCATAAGTTAAGAGACAGATAATGAACCTGTCAGAATTTTCCCCCTGGGTGGGTGGTGGGGTAGTGGAGGTGGAGAGACTAAGCAGCACCTACCTCCAACTTCTAAGGGCCCACCAACAAATCCAAGTTTGAGTCTACCACATTTCACCAGGGAAACCAGTGAGTTCATAAGGCTTCCTGATAGAAGACGGAGGCAGAATTGTGGGAGACTCTAAAGCAGCTCAGCTGCAAGACCTGTACCAGCATTGATGATAGCTCACCTGTGGCTGCGTGGATGGAGACTCTTTCCCCAAGTCTTCCCCAGACAATACAATCCACCCACACCCGGAGACCCCACAGCCACATACAATTAGGGTACAATTGCATACACATGGCAGAAGGGAGTGACTGGATGCTCTGGTGAGGGTCCAGTGACACTATCTCTCTCTCCTTCTGAGTAGGGAATGTCAACAGCACACACCCAACTGTGATGACCTCTTCCAAGTAGGCACAACTGATCTTATCGACAGCGCCTTACAACTGGACCTAATGAGAGAAAGCAAGAGGTTATAACACCAGGCCAGGAGCATTTGCGGGTGGCTACTAAAGTAAGATCTAGGCCAATGTGGCCACATCATAAGTAGCAACAAAAGGGAGCAGAAAATCCAAAACTTTGGAGGTTTGCAGGTTGAACAGAGGCAATCCCAAGAAAATAAAATAAGCAAGAGAAGGGTCTGGAGAAGACAGCCTTGCACCAAGGATCAGTTCAAGGGGAAATAACCTATTGTTAAAACTCTCAAGACACACATAAAACGATGGTGAACACTGTGACCTCAGTGTTTGGGAGTTGGAGGCAGGAGGGTTGCCTTCAAGGTTAGCCTGGGCTATAACAAGAGCCTGTCTCAAACTATCCAGACCAATCCCTCGGTATACTGAATGATGGTACCTAATGTTCATTCAGCTCTGGAGAGGAGAAGGAAGGTACAACTTCCCCATCTCCTAAGACTAGCATACTCAAAACCAAGAGGAAAGAGAGAAGCAGAACATGAGGTAGAAGAGTAAAAAAGCAAAGAAATGGGGCAAACCACTGGAATGGGACCAGAGAAGAACAGCTGCTGTGCCTACTGGCACACGGAATACCTTGTATCCTATAAGAAACTACACTTGTATGGGAATTACAATCAACCTGCATTACAAAAGACTATTTTCAAGGTCTTTTAAAGCCCTGGGTCTTCATTAAGTCTTTGGAAGACTTTGGGCAAACCCAGGGTCACAGAAAGTGGTCCTACGAGCAGAACCAGGTCCTAATTGAAGGAATGGATTGAGGGGTGGGCGTGTTCTGAAAACACTCAGGGGCTAGGATCTACTGTGACCTCAGGTCCTTCCCTTCCCAAGCAGAGCCCTGTCTCTGCCCCATCATATAAAGTGAATGGGGTGCAGGGTAGCTAGTTCTCCCTCAGAGGAAGACACACCTGGACCTGACGCCCCTCTACACTACCTCTTAAAGCCTGGATGTGAACTTTATGCTGTAACTGAGGGGTTGTTGGGGCTGATTCCCCCTGAAGAAGGAAAGAAGACAGGAAGGACCCCTTTCAGGCCCTCAGTCTCAGGCATGGCCTCCTGACTGGCTTTGGGCAGTGGCATATGAGAAAGAAAGGTGCCACTTCCAGGGGAATACACTGAGAGTCAGTCAGAGCTTTGCTGAGGTCCCCCTTCAGTCACAGCTGGTGAGAAGCAGGACAGTGGACAGAGTTCCCTGCTCAGCCACACTGGGCAAGTAGTGGGGGTGGGGGGAGCAAGAAATCATCATATATTGACTTCGACCTCTGGTGTGATGAGTTTGGGGTAGCATAGCCCAGCGCTTTGCAACTGAGCCTCCAACAAGATGAGGCTAGATAGCACTGGCTGTCTGGACTGGGAAAAACCCCTCCTCCCAGACAAAGAGGAAGTTGATGGTGGCTTGCAAGCAGAGGCATTAGCAAGAGCACAACTTTTGCGCCTTGGATGAAACGTGCTATTTCTTAACCGAAGTAGAAAATTGGCCTCCTAGGCCGCAGGAGGCAGGAGAGGACCCTTGGGCAAAAGATACATACTTAAACAGTCCTAAGCCCCTGAGTTTCTAAATACAGGAACAAGAAAACAACTTCTAGGCCATCAACAACACTTCCCAAGCAGACAATCAAAGCTTTGAGAAAAAGTTTGCCAGAGTGGAGAAAATACAAAGGAATGTAACACAGATTTAAGGTCACTCTCCAGCTGTCCCTGTACCCCAAGCAAGACACATGAACTTTCTGGGATTAGTTCCTCCTGTGTAAAGTCTAGGTAAAAATGTATGCGCCTCAAGATGGCTGTGGGAAGGAAACAGCATACTTCAAGTGCTCGGGCTAACGGGCAGTTAGTGGCTGTTTAATGGACAAAACTTACTTTTATTACTGTTATCATAAATCATGTAGAATATGAGCTCCTTGATTAGGGGAACTCATTCTCTCTTTGAGGGAAGTAAATGGATCTGGACTTCACAGAAACCCTGCTCTATCTACCCTGCCCCCACAAAGGTCAGTGCTTGGCTGGCAGCAGCCTCTTAGTTACCCTCTGTAGCCCGAGCGAAAGCGAAATGAGCACGCAGGGGCAGGGTAAAAAGAGTTGGCCGTTTTCCCACCGATACCGGCTGCTATTGGGCTCTGAATGCTTCAAGGCAAAACATCTTAAGGCTACAAACCCTGGGCTGAGTTCTGAGGCAGCAAAGTTCAAATTAGAACCTCGGAACTTAAAAAAGGTTCAACTTCAAACCTTAAGTCCTGGGCAAAAAGGAGGCTTGGGGAAAAAGCAGGCTCATGGCCTTTTGCTACTTTGCTCACCGGCTCCTGCCAAATCAGTCAAATCACACCCCTGTAGTCTGGTACTCCCAAGAAGACCCAGGGGAAACACCGCAGCCAGCAAGGAAGGGGACAGCCAGTTGACCACCTTCTAGTCCAGGAGTCAAGGAAGATACCACTAATGTCTGGCAGCCCGATACGGTGGATCTCACCCGCTCTACCTGTAGATGAGGCCAATAGAGTTCAGAGAAGTTCCGAGATTTACACTTACACAATGAGAGAGCCGGGCTTGCTACCTCTTTAGACCTAAGGGGTGGAGGATGGAGGTCGGATAGCAGCGCCCTAGGAAAGAAACCACTTACATGTGTCTAGCGCTTCCTAGAGGCCGCAGAGGATATGGCTCCACCAGCGGGCGGGGAGGGGAGCGTTTAGCCTGCTTTTACCAGGGACTCCCGCTTAGGCAGCGTGACTTTCGGGCGAGTCGGCGGCTCTCAAGACTTGTTTTCCCAGAAGCAAATCAGGAGGGGGAAAGGGCGGGCGCGAGCTGTGCGCGCGCGGGACCGTGTGTGCGATCGAGCACAGGCGATCGCCGGGGTTTCCCGAGTTTTGTACCCTTAAATGTTGGTTTTGACCCCCCCTCCCCATGGGCGCTGGGGTGGCACCTTAATTTCACTTCTAGAAAACGCGTCCCTCCGAGGCAAAGCGAGCCCCTCCCCGCATGTCCCCAGAGGGTGACGTGTTGTGCCGAGGACCCAGAGGAGTCCGGTTCCTAGTACCGCAAATCTCGGGCTTCCAGGTACAGCACACGGCGGCGCAGATCCCCTGCCGGAACTTAACCAAGAGACAAACTTCCACGCGTGCTCAAGACGTGGGAGGGACACTCTCAAGCCCGTTCAACTTCAACCCAATTTCGCACTCCCCGGGGCACACACAACCATCTTAACCCGCGCCGCTGCCTCCCGGAAGTGCGGGGGTGCAGAGCCTGCTGGAGCTCAGGTCGCTCAGCCCCTTCACACGTGTGTGAGTGTTCGCGTGTGTGTGCGTGCGTGTGTGTGTGCATCTGTGCGCGTCACCTCCACTCTCGTGTGTGCCACCTCCACTCCCCTCCCAGGCCTTCCGCCCCGAGCCACTAGCGCGCCTCCCCAGTGGATCCCCGCGTCTCGGGTCTTGATCTGGGTCCCCATCCCTGAACTTGAGCCCGCCTCCGACAGACGCCGCAAGGGTCCAGCCGACCCGGCAGCCTCCGTCACTAGACAGCCAAACCAAGACGTCAGCCCACAATGCACCGGGCGGGCCGGGAAAGACGCGCCGGGGAGGGAACCCGGGAACACAAGCCCGAGCGCCGCGCGGGAGGAGGGAGGAAGGAGGAGAAAGAAGGGCCCAACTGTAGGAGCGCAGCGGAGCATTACCTCATCCCGTGAGCCTCCGCGGGCCCAGAGAAGAATCTTCTAGGGTGAGGTCTCCATGGCGACAGGCGGGCCCGCCCCCCTGAGAGCGACGCAAGCCAATGGGAAGGCCTTGGGGTGACATCATGGGCTATTTTTAGGGGTTGACTGGTAGCAGATAAGTGTTGAGCTCAGGCTGGGTAAGGACTCAGAGTTGCACTGAGTGTGGCAGAGACGTCCTGGCAGGAACGCGCTCAAGCAGAAAGGCAGACAGAGACGGACGGACGGACTCGGCCAACCCGGACGGCCGCGGACTCCGGGCTGCTCATCTGTTTGTCTTCATTTTCTCACCGACTCCCTGGATCCAGCGCCCGCGGCTCCAGCATCGGTGTTTTGGGGAGCACTTGGAGAGTCCCTTCTCCCGCCTTCCCCGGAGAAGAAGCTCCCAAGTCCCGGCGCTGCTGACAGCACCGAGAGCGGCGCCTGCCCGCGCGAGGAAATAGGCGAGCGGCTACGCCGGCCAGCAACTTTCCTGACCCAGAAGACCGGGAACAAGTGGCCCGGAGCGAACTTTTGCAAACCTTTTCTGCGCCTTAGGCTGCCACCGAGACTGTAAAGAAAAGAGAGAAGAGGAACCTTCACTCAGCCAGGCTCGCACAGGCGGCTGAAGTTGGGCGAGCGCTAGCCGCGGCCGCCGAGCGTCCCCCTCCCCCTCGCAGCGGAGGAGGGGACAGTTGTCGGAGTCCGGGGCGGCGGAGCCCGGTCGCGGGCTTCCACCGAGAGTTCCCTGACGACTGGTTCGCGCCGCCGGAGAGCCGCTGTCGCTGGAGCTGGTCCGCCGTCCCCGAGGAACCGCTGCCATCCGAGAGCGCTCGGTGAGTGACCGCGACTTTTCAAAGCCCGGCGGCAGCGCGCGGGAGTCGACCAACGTGAGCGCAGGCGGTTTCTTAACCCTGCGCTCCCTGGAGCGAGCTGGGGAGGAGGGCGCAGGGGGGAGCATCGCCGACCGGAGCGCGCGCTCGTAGACAAACTTTACTTGTCACCGAAACAGGGACGCACGGGTGTCCCCCGCTCCCCAGCGCGCTGTTGCGGCCCCGAAACTTCAGCGCACAGCCCAGGCCAACCCCGCGTGAACTGACCGACCGTTCTATGACTGCAAAGATGGAAACGACCTTCTACGACGATGCCCTCAACGCCTCGTTCCTCCAGTCCGAGAGCGGCGCCTACGGCTACAGTAACCCTAAGATCCTGAAACAGAGCATGACCTTGAACCTGGCCGACCCGGTGGGCAATCTGAAGCCGCACCTCCGCGCCAAGAACTCGGACCTCCTCACGTCGCCCGACGTTGGGCTGCTTAAGCTGGCGTCGCCCGAACTGGAGCGCCTGATCATCCAGTCCAGCAATGGGCACATCACCACCACGCCGACCCCCACCCAGTTCTTGTGCCCCAAGAACGTGACCGACGAGCAGGAGGGCTTCGCCGAGGGCTTCGTGCGCGCCCTGGCCGAACTGCATAGCCAAAACACGCTGCCCAGCGTCACGTCCGCGGCACAGCCGGTCAGCGGAGCGGGCATGGTGGCTCCCGCGGTGGCATCGGTAGCGGGCGCTGCCGGCGGCGGCGGCTACAGCGCCAGCCTGCACAGCGAGCCTCCGGTCTACGCCAACCTGAGCAACTTCAACCCGGGTGCGCTGAGCAGCGGCGGCGGGGCGCCCTCCTACGGCGCGGCCGGGTTGCCTTTTCCGTCGCAGCCCCAGCAGCAGCAGCAGCCGCCTCAGCCGCCGCACCACTTGCCCCAGCAGATCCCGGTGCAGCACCCCCGGCTGCAGGCCCTGAAGGAAGAGCCACAGACGGTGCCCGAGATGCCGGGAGAGACCCCGCCCCTGTCCCCCATCGACATGGAGTCTCAGGAGCGGATCAAGGCGGAGAGGAAGCGCATGAGGAACCGCATCGCTGCCTCCAAGTGCCGGAAAAGGAAGCTGGAGAGGATCGCCCGGCTAGAGGAAAAAGTGAAAACCTTGAAAGCGCAAAACTCGGAGCTGGCGTCCACGGCCAACATGCTCAGGGAACAGGTGGCACAGCTTAAACAGAAAGTCATGAACCACGTTAACAGTGGGTGCCAGCTCATGCTAACGCAGCAGTTGCAAACGTTTTGAGGACAGACTGTCAGGGCTGAGGGGTAATGGAAGAAAAAAACATCAGAGACAGACTTGAGAACTTGACTGGTTGCGAAAGAAATAAAAAAGTGCCCGAGTACCGAAGCCAAGGGTACACAAGATGGACTGGGTTGCGTCCTGACGGCGCCCCCAGTGTGTTGGAGTGGGAAGGACGTGGCGCGCCTTACCTTGGCGCGGAGCCAGAGAGCGGCGGCCTATTGGCTGACAGGCCTGGCGAATGGGCTGTGCCCGCGCGACCAGAGCGATGGACTTTTCGTTAACATTGACCAAGAACTGCATGGACCTAACATTCGATCTCATTCAGTATTAAAGGGGGGGTGGGGGGTTACAAACTGCAATAGAGACTGTAGATTGCTTCTGTAGTGCTCCTTAAGAACACAAAGCAGGGAGGGCTAGGGAGGGGAGGGAGGCTCGTGAATGCCAGGCTAGACCGCAGATGAACTTTCCTGGCCTGCCTCCCTCAACTGTGTATGTACATATATATTTTTTTTTAATTTGATGAAAGCTGATTACTGTCAATAAACAGCTTCCTGCCTTTGTAAGTTATTCCATGTTTGTTTGTTTGGGTGTCCTGCCCAGTGTTGTTTGTAAATAAGAGATTTGAAGCATTCTGAGTTTACCATTTGTAATAAAGTATATAATTTTTTTATGTTTTGTTTCTGAAAATTTCCAGAAAGGATATTTAAGAAAATACAATAAAGTATTGAAAAGTAGCCCCCAACCTCTTGGCTGCACTATCCATAGATAATGGTAGCTAGATGGAGTAACAGCTGAGTGTCAGATCTAGATTAGAAGCTGTGCTCTCTGACTGTAGAAATAGACACCCTGCATGCTATCCCTGGGTCACACTCTTTCCCCCCAGCAACCCGGAGTCCAGACTGTTAACCAGAAGACGGATGGTGTTTCCAGAGGCTGGAAGACAGGGATGGTGCAAGGGGGAGGGGACGCCCCATTGGGAAAGCAGACACCAGTTTAGAGCTGGAACTGTTAGTGGCATGTGTTGTGATCATTTATAATCATAGTAGAGGTTTAGCAATAGCTGCTTATTCTCAAAGCAGGAACCCATGGGAGTTTTCACAGATGTCTCCTCCCAACCTGGAATCCGACAATTCCGAGAGAAAGATGGCCTTTGCTTGTGCATATTTATAACAGCATTCTTGTTGCAATAAATGTATTCAAATAACGGTTTAGAAAATCTTGAATTCCTTTCCCTTTGCTACCTTTTTATTCCTGAACCATATACTGAAGGTTTTCCAAGCTTCTGGGGTTAGCATCACTGCATCCTAAACCTAGAAATTTAGAAGCAAAGACTTTAGGAAGAGTCAAACTAGAAGTTGGGGCCCGGGCGAACTATTCTCCCTATCCTCCCTTCTCCCTCCCCTTTTGTCAACCCCTACCCCCATCTCTCCCCAATACCAGGGAAGTAACCAATGTACCAAGTCCATATTTATTTTTTTAACTTGTTTCAAAATAATCTGACTTAAATAATTATAGAGCCAGTCTAGGAAGATGCTATCATAAATCCTGTGGGGGCAGATTCACAAGAGAAATGCCCCCCCCCCGACACTGATTATATAACACATACACCTGTAATCTCAGCTCTGGGGAGACTGAAAACTTGAATTGTGTCTACAGATACAACAGATTATCACCAAGTTTGTATTTAACAAGGGGACAATTTTTGCCAGGTTCCTTCTCATTCCACGAGTAGCTGTAATGATCAAGCAGCAAAAGCAATTTGACATCCAGAAACACCTCACAAAGGACTCAGCCTGGCTGTTGGCTCATTAGCAGTGTTCCAGTATGCAACAGGTCTAGGAGTGCCTGTGGCGGTAAATCCAAACACAGTTTCTCAGGCACACATTTAGGTCTGCAGGGGCCCGGACAGGCTGCTTGGGTGTCAGACACACTCCCTTGTAATAAGACTCCTTGAACAAAGAGTTACTGGGAGCCAAGGCACTTTCCCCACACAGTGAATTTGCTGATGTCAGCAACCCGGAAGGTGGGCCGAGTTTTGACCATATTAGGAGTAGCAGAGGGACCATAAAGCACTTCAGGGTGTGGTTCTGTGGACTCTAAACAAGTGCAAAGTAGAACGGTACACAGGCTGGGAAACCGATAACACAGTGCTAGACTAGGCCCAGACAGCACAGCTGAGAAATGCCACGCCGCTCTGCAGTTGACTAAAGAGGAGGGGGGAAAAAGGAAAAGAAAAAAGGCCTCAAGCTTATTCCTGTATTTGTCCCTTTCAACTAATATTTTGAGTTACATTCCTGAAATTCTAACTATTCTAACCCAAAGAGATTAAAGAAAAACATAATGACAACAGAGGAAATGAAACAATGGTATCCTGTAAACTTCAAAAGAGGAGAATTAGCTAATTACTGCAGACATAATTCTGTTATGGACTTTCAGTGTGTCAGACTTTAGGTAGCACTAGGGATAAACAAAATGGCATATAAAGTCACTAATCCTTTCTTAGTTATGTACATAAATATATATAATTCATAGATTAGTAACCACTGAGACAGAGGGTTTGTATAATCATTAGGAATGTCCACATGTATTAGGAATGTCCAATAGTATTATCTTTTATTTTACCTTCCAAGAGCTCTGTGATAGAATGAGCCAATCAGATGCTACATGTTCATCATCAGAAGTCTGTTTGTGTGAGTCTGGGTCTCTAGGCATTTCAGACTCCAAACTTCTGGTCGTGTTATTCTACCCTTCCTTCTGGCCAGCCTTTCGTTCTCCATCAAGTGATGTCTTTCACCCAAGTTCTCTAAGGTTACTTGGTGTCCTGGTATGAGCTCATGCTTTGATTTCTTTCTACAATGGATTACGATCTCCAAGTGTAGCCAAAATAAATCATTTTCCTCCCTAAGTTGTTTATGCCCAGTGTGTTTTGTCACAGCATCAGAAGGGTACCTAGAGCTGAAGTTTGGCCTAGATGGCACCTTCTCTATGAAATGTCCCTTGATGGTTCCATGTTCCTGTGGAATGAAGAATCCCCTTTGTAGTGTCATGACACTTACGAAAATGTGAAAATGTGAGCATTGGTGAATGTCTGCGTCAAGGCTAAATCTCTATCCTGCTAATCAGAGGATTCTCGGCTTCCTAGTTTAGGATCTGGCTCATAGTGGGGGGTGGATCAAAGACAGCCCCCAAAGTCAAACTTAGCCCGCAGCAAAGTTCTAACACTTACTTCTCAATTAGTGTTCCTTGACGAATCAGGTTGTCAGCCTGGTCATACCTCCAGCCATACAGAGCATCCCCATCCCACCTTCACTAATGCAAGTGGTCATCTTGTCAAGAATCAATCTACCTGAAACATTAGGCCTGGCAGTGGAGGTCGGGAAGGACCAAGCAAGCACAGAAGGTAGTGCCAAGTCTGACTTCGTTGGTAGTGACCAAGGAGACTTTCTGCAGTTGGATGCATGGCTGGGGTCTATCTAGAAGGTAATATTCAGTATTTGCTTGCTGAGACGAGTCACACTGATCATTCAACACACGTGTCCTTCGTTGTCAGACAAGAACTGTACTGACTACAGAGAGGAGGAAAGAATGCTTTTCAACCCAGCCTGCCCTTTCCCTCCATTATCCACTTTGTGCTGGATCAGTTAGCCTTCCAGAGGAGGAGAGGAGAAGCTGAGAAGGGCACAGAAATGAAAGACTTTCTTACCTGTGGCAAACAGATTCAGTTCTTTGGTTTTGGACTCTCAAGACATCCTAGGTGAGGCACCCACTGGGCCTGGATCTCTTTAAGGCCCTATCAGGCTATGGGGTAACATTGAGAATGCTACCACCCTTATTTGCAAGAAACTCACTCTGGAAAGAGGGCACAGGAGATAAAGCAGACACTACTCCAGCGGTACGCGCGGCATGCTCTAAGAAAAGCAATGGCAGGAGAGGGGAGAAGAAGCCATTGTAAAGAAAGATTTCCCAGAAGTGACGTTTGAACCAATCCAGGCAGAGAAGTGTGTATTCAAAGCACAAAAGCAGCATGATAGAGCGCCATGTGATGGGGGTGTGGGATCTGTTTGAAGAGGCCAGAGAGCAAACTGTGCAAAGAAAAACAGGAGATGAAATGGGAGTGAGTTCAGGTCAGCTTATGCAGCGGCATCCAGTCCACGCTGTGTTATGATTAATGGGGAAGCATAGAGGGATTTGGAGCTGAGACGGGACATGGTCAATATTGGAAATACATATACTGCAAGGACTCGTGGGTGGCTAGGTAAGAAATAGGTAAAGAGGCTAGGTAAAGGAAATAATAGCAAAAAGGTTTAATTTAGAGGACAAAGTGGGCAGATGATGTCTTGGTCCCAGCTCCATCATTCACTTTTCTTGTTCTTAAGTCACCCGGCAGATTAAACCTGAAGGGTTCTGTCAAGAGGCCCCTTATCCTTGCTGTTTTCCCCACTTGTCTTCCTCTCCAGTGTCAGTTTGACCTCGAGGAGGAAAATCATCTTTCAGAATGCTCAAATACAAAGGAAAGAAATGGAGTCACAACGTCTAGGCCTGGCCGCTAGGGTGAGAACTCAGCGTGGGTCCTCAAGGGAGCAGGATGCAGCCTGACTGTCTAGCTGCCCAGACCTGATCAAAACTATCCAAGCTCTTTACAGCATTGGCAAAGAGGCCAACGGTTTTATGAATGTCATGGGAATGGGAATGTCTTACATTCACACAACACTCATTCTCCTCCACAAGTAACATGACGTGCCTGTTCTGTGTGAGGCACTGAGAACGCGGTGGGGAGGGAGATTGCTAAGAACCCACTTCGTGGATTTTATAACCTAGTAAGAAAGATCAGAATAAGGAAAGCAGGCAAGTAAGTGCATGGTTGTATATGTTCCTCACCAGTTCGGCGAAGAACTGGGTGCTAGCGACTAGAAAGACAATCTAAATTGGGTAGGGAGCAAAGATGGCCTCCATGGGAGAGGAACCTGAGCTAAGGATTCTTAGATGATGAAGATCTGGGCAGGAAGAGACCAGGAAGGCTGACTTAGGTAAGTCCAAAGAGAGGGGCAGTCTGCAAGACAGCTGTGGAAAGACTGCAGCACTCTGCGGGGCTACGGCAGAGCCTAGGTCACTGGGGTGAAACGAGCAAAGGGGAAAAAATGGAGAGCAGCGGCATCTCTACTGGACGATCCCAGGTACATCTATCTTAATATGTTCTCCCCACTTTCCTGGGTACCAATCAGAGTTCGAGTTCGTGAGACTAGAAGCCAAAGCTCCCCGTGTATGCTCAGTGCTGCTGTTGAGACCACGTGTCCAATCACAATTCTGGGGCCGTGATTGCGAGGCCTCAACAGTCGTATTCTTTCCTTGTTCTGTGATGGGCATCAGATGACCCCGTGTCCTTGGATCCTTCACTGAGTACACACGCTGACTTCTCCACAGAGGACCCTGAGGAGCTGAATAACTCTTCAGAAGGTTCTCCGATGTGCATAACATCTGAGCAAAGGTAACCAGATAGTCTCCTGAGAGGTTCCATTCAAGTCTCAGCAGCAACTAACGAACTTTCTGTGCCCTGCTGCAAACCCTCCCTTCCTGGAGGGAACGAAATACTCAGGGCTGTGAAGCCCTGGTGGTTTCTTGCTATGTAAACTTCCTTAGTGGACGCACAGCAAAGCCTTTACTCGAGAGCTG